TTTTTTTTTTTTTTTTTTTTTTTTTTTTTTGTACTGGGATCGAACTCAGGTCCTTTTGCTTGCAAGGGAGGCGGTAGAACCACTGAGCTAAAACCCTGGCCCTATAGGCAGCTATTTTTAAACAAATTAAAATTAAGTAAAATTTAAGTTTCTCTGTCACACCAGCCATGCTCCAAATGATCATGTGGCAGGTGCGAGGACTCTGGGTGCCTCAGAGAGGAAACATCTCCTTCTTTGCCCAGTGTCCTGTTAGACAGCGCTGGTCCTCATCTGGAGCCACCAGTGCTCTCTAATGCCCAGCTTCCATCTGGACCTTTGCTCATCATTAACATGACCCAAAAGCACAAACGTCTGAGGACGTTTCGGGAATACTGTTGGCTCTCTTTGGCTATATTAGACCACGTTGGGGGGAGCATAGCACTGATTCAAAGCAAAATGAAAAATAAAATCGATGGCCCTAGAAATCGTAATGATTTTCAAACTGAGGAATCAAAGCAGCCTGGATGGAAGCAGTGACTCATGGGTTGTTGATTCCATGGTGCTGCTGCTGAGAGGCGGTTGCATGGGTGGTGTGTGCAGGTAAGAGTGAAGGCGGCCTGTGGTGGGGACAGCCATCAGAAGGCCTAGGACACACTTGCTTAATTCAGAGGCATGGGCTCTGTCACTCATTTTTTTTTTTTTTAAATTGCAAAACAGGCTGGTTCTGGGATGGGGATTTAGCTCAGTGGTTCTGCCACCTGCTTCACAAGCACAAGTTTCTGAGTTCAATTCCCAGTACTAAAACCAAAACCAAAACCAAAACAGGCTGCTTCTAAAAATAGACTAGCTGCAGACTGAGGATGACTAGCACCAGTTCTGAGGATGAGGAATTTTCTTTTCTTTCTGCCATCATGAAGCAAGCAGGTTCTTTTTGTTTTGTTCCTCATTTCTTCGAAGGTACTTTACTAAATCTAATCTGCAGAGCCAATCCATTATTTCTGCTTCCTGAAACCACTTAGTTTGCCACTGGCAAGCATGGAAAGCTTGTCAGGATTCTGGTCACAAAAGTGGGGTCCAGGTTTTCTTAACCCTTTGCTCCACCGCTGGATCAGCTTCAGGAAGCAGGAGCTGAATTGGTACCTCTGCCTCCACATTGGGAATGTCATTACCCTAATCCTATAACCTTAAGGGAAGGGAACCCTTCTCCTGTGGGCCCTAGGACCGCAGGCTTAATGTTCCTTTGTTGCCATTCTTTTTCCAGTATCTAGTCTCACAGACTGAATTGAGGGATTTCCAAGTACCTTACAACTCTCTATAGTTTTATGTTGCCTCAGGATAACCCAGGCCTCCCATGCTTTCCTGGATTAAAGAACACCAGTTGGGTATTGCCTCTCACTACTTACCACAGTAGCAAAGACATAATGGTTATTTTGGCAATGTTCAAGGTCCTGAACAGGTCCAGAATGAAAACTTTTGGCTGCTTCAAGGAGGTTAGCTCCTGTAGCTAAAATAATGCAAACAAAAATGAAAACATGAGTTTTGAAGTAGTAAAGAAGCCCCAGCACCCATGTGCATGGCATGTCACTCATGACGTCACCTGAGTGTGCCTATGAGCCTGGAGGAGAGAGAAGGTCATCTGCATATGTGATGTTTACCCTGGCTCTTTAAAATGCCTGCAGCCCATTTTGGACAGGAGGCTTAGAAATATAAAACATCAGCCCCCAGTTTCATTCAAAGCCTAAAATCTCCCGCATCTTTATCACCCTGATCTGTGATCCTGGTGGGCTATTGAGAGGGAAGGTCAATGTATGTAACCCCGAAGTGTAGGCCCCTGACATGTCGTTCATCAGAGCATGAACTGTGATAGCACAGAGACCTAGGTCACAAACGCTCCTGAGAGCTATATGGTTCTGGGCAAGTCCCTTAATTTTTCCATGCCTCAGTTTCCTCTCCGAGAAAGAAGACTAAGGAGTCGAACATCTGCTGAGCATCAGTTGGGCTCTAGGCTATCACCCTGTACAGCTGCATTCCGCTCTTAAAGAAGACCTGTGAGGGAGTGGGCAGGGAAGTGACCGTCCCCGGAAGCTCTAACTGCAGGCTCTCCCTCCAGGGTGGGCTGTCCTGAGCAGGCCCATGTGCGAAGCTGCTGCATGGAGCAGAAGCCTGGGGTTTGAGGTCGGTCTTTATTCTCATTTATCCACAGCCTTCATCTGTGCCGGCCTGGTCTCCGTGATTAGACTACACGTTTCTTGACAACACGAATCATATAGGATACAAATCCAATAAATACTAATAAGTTCCCAGCCCTGAAAGTTGCTGGTGTTAGACACTCCCAAGGTCTTGTGATTTTTACAGCCAGTTAAGTTGACTAAAACTGGGGATGGACTGATTTGAAGGGCAAAAAATTAAGGATGTTTTGTCATGGGCAGGCTGCTGAGAGCTGCGTGCATTGCCACTGTAATGACGCCGCCGGCCGCAGCCAGGCTATGTGCTTCAGGAAAAGGTCCTGATGGCCAGGGCCAGAGGAGGCCCTTGGATGGGGCACTGCCAACCCCACATGCTCCACAGTTCTGTGTCCTGAGGTAGCCGCCTCTGTCTGCTTCAGGCATCCCGAGAGGGCCCCGCCATCTCCTAGCCAGGAATGCCCTCCCCCCACCCTTGCCGGTCACCGAAGCGAGTCCGGCTGCCCTCCTAGCACGGACCTGCGTCTGTGTCCTCGGGACACCCTGCTTTTCTCATTCTGTTCCACTGGCACGGGGTGTGCACTGCTCGGGTCCTAGCACTCCTTCTTCCTTCCCTGCTCACCTCTTCACCTCGTCTTCCTGCCCTCTTAGCCACATTCTTCCCCCCCCCACGAAGAGGCCAGCGCAGCGCGGCACACCGCACGTCCCCACTGCGAGGAGGCATGGTTGCTTCCACAGAGCCTCAGCTGTCCCCGTGGCCACCTGCCCTCAGAGGCCAACCCTCAGGCCTGTAGGCAGAGGTCACAGGGCCCTTGACAGGCCTTGCGGCCAGACTACAGACAGGCACAGGCAGGATACAGTGGGGAACTAGGGTGGTCTAACCCTCAAACACATTTTTTCCTCATTTCATCTGGACATTTACAAATCATCAGTATATAGTTGTAATCAATACTTTGGAACATTGCCAATAAAGAAGTTGGGGATAAACTTCCAAAATGAAGTGAACTACTTGCCATTTGCTGAGGAGCAGGTATATATATATATGTGTGTGTGTGTGAACTTAATTCTTTTTTTTTTGGTACCAAGGATCGAATTCAGGACCTTGTGCTTACAAAGCAGGTGGTGGAACCACTGAGCTAAATCCCCAGCGCTGAAGTTAATTATTTTTAAAATTTTGGTAGTACTGGAGATCAAAACCAGGGCCCTATGCATCCTAGGCAAGAACTCTTCTGCTGAGACACCTATAGCCATGAGCCGGTGAAAATCTTATGAGGGCTCCTCCCCAACTGCCTTTAAAAACACCGCTGCAGTGTGGCGGCTCATGCCCAGCAGGCATGATTTTAGAATGTTACTTAATTCTAAAACACCCCTTTACAGTAGATTTTTTTTGAGAGGCAGAGATTTCACTGTTGCCTAGGCTGACCAGAAACTCCTGGGCTTTAGAAATCCCCCTTCCTTGGCCTCTCAAGAAACTAGGGCTGTGGATGCCAGCCACCATGCACAGCTGGATTTCATTCCAGAAAATAATCATGATCGCATTCCTCACACCGAGGGATAGGGAAAACTTTTATAAATAGCAAAAACCTACGAAGTGTTACAACGTAGAATGACTTGTGTTATCTCTAACGGCAGTTTGTTTTGTTTTGCTCAGAACTAATAGGCACCAAAGGCACTAATTGCTGACTGAGGCATTTGGTCTGACCCTGAGATAGCAGGGCACAGCAAGGTCTTGAGCTCCAAAGAGACTGAAGCCACCTGATCATAAAAGTGTCAAGATCAAAAGGACCAGTGCCAACATTTGCTCCCCCCACCCTGAACGCCCCCTTCCTATGGACTAGAATAGATACTAGTTGAATCTTAAAGGTAAACTCCCCAACTGCAAAGAACTGTTACGTTTGGGTTGAAAAGATGAACTGTTCTGTGACCATGATTTGAACTGTGAGAATGAAGGGTAACCACACAAATGAAGTCCAGGCTGGGAAACCCTATAAAGGGAGGAGCTGTAACCCAGTGTGTGGTCGACCCTTATGCATGAGTAAATCTGTTATTTTACTTCTATTCTGTGTCCTCTCTGTGTGTCACTTATTATTTCCTTCCGTAACACGAGTACTACCAAGTACTTGGTAGGCACTTACCAAATATTGAATTAAATTAAATTCCATAAAACTAAGAATTCAGAGCCGACTTTCAGAGGAAATACCTACAAATTCTTACCTCTATAGGATCAAATATCACTGGAGGTGCAGTCACGCTGTTCATCTTTGCAGCTTTTTGGATGATATCTTCGGCCTCTCTAAATCTTTTCTGGGATATCAGCCACCGAGGAGATTCAGGAATACACCTAGAATTCATTTTCAGTAGTTAATCATGTTTCACATTAGAGGTTGACACTTATTTCTCGGCCACTCTCAGCAGGAGACACTGCTATCTGGACAATTTAATTCTGAAAACTTCTAGTTTGTCTTTATTTAAGCTTTTTTATTTTTGTGGTACAGGGGATTGGTCCCAGGGCCTCATGCATGCTAGACAAGTGCTCTACCACTAAGTTACATCCCTATCCCTATATTGTAATTTTAAATGACACATAGTAATTATACATATGTCTGAGGTAGAGTGATATTTCAATGCCAGTATACAATGTGTAATATGCAGCTGGTGTTTTGTTTGTTGCTTTGTTTGAGACAGGGTCTCCCTATGTGGTTCAGGCTGGCCTTGAACTCACTATGGAGCCTAGTTGGGCCTCCAACTCTTAGCGATCTTCCTGCCTCAGCCTCCGGAGTGCTGGGATAACAGGTGTATACCATCACATCTGGCTCATTGGATCACAGGTGTGTGACGCTGAACCACTGGAAGGGAATCCTTATAAGATTTTCACTGTTAGGGCCAGGGATTTAGCTCAGTGGTTCTGCCACCTGCCTTACAAGCACAAGGACCCGAGTTCGATCTCCAGTACTAAAACAAAACAAAACAAAACAAAAAAAAAAGCTTTTCACTGTCTTATAGAAATAATAGAAGCATCTTCTAATTCCAAAGTTCAGATCACATTTTTCCGCATAAGCCCTGGACTGGACCATGATGGTGGGCGTCCCCGTGGCGCCTCTGACCCTGGCAGCTGCAGAGGGACCATCAGAAGTGGAACAGCCAGCACGGCTCCTCCAGGACACCGTCCCTGGGCTGTAAGGACCCCAAAGAGACTGTCCTTCAGGGTTACCCTGCTGTGAGGATCCTGGGGGGCTCGCATCTCCCTGGGTAAAGGACGGCCAGGGCCCCTGTGCTCCACCAGCTTTTCTGGCAGCCAGGGGTGTGGACAGAGCACTAATGCCGCCCTGGCTGTCCCTGTGGCTTTCAGCAGGTTCTCAGGTCAGTGAGTTTCACAGCCAGCTTTTGGGAGATGAGTCTCCATGTCGTCTCATAAAAAAAATCTAAAACCTTCATTGTTAAATATTAAGATACTCCAGATACACTTATAACTGATATTCAAACGGTTGCAAATACAGGACTCTATTTATTTCTTCCTAGCTTTTCTCAGACACTCTTAGCCATTCTACCGGATCTTATTTTCCTTACTTAGGTATTAGTACTTAGTTATCCTAGAAAATAAATGACAAGTAGCACACACAGACCTGCCCTAGAATTAATAGCCCCCAAGCTGCACTGGGAATTTGCTCAGAGCAAAACACAGTGTATTGCATGGCCAACCCAGCAGCCACATTCCCCAGCCTCCTAGGACATGGGCTGGAAAGGAGCCCAGTTTGCATTTTCATAATACTCCCTTCACTTGGTACCTGTAGGGACTGCGGTGATGTCTGGCCACGGACCTTCAGTAATTAGAACTGTGTTGTCTAACAGAAACTTCTGAAATAGGCAAACCCGTGCTGTCCAATAGAGCACACAGTAACCACATATGGCGATGAAGCTAGCATAACTAGTATGGCTGAAGAAATGGAAATATGGCTTTATTTGCTTTTAATTAATTTGAATAGCCCCATGTGGCTGGCGGTTACTGGATTAGTGCAGAATTAATCTTACTCTAGCCACTATTGTATTTCATGGCTGCCTGTGTGTCTCAGAGGTATCTTTCCCCAACAAGGTTTTGCTTAGAAATATTCTTCCTTCCTTTCTCAGGTTCTCAGGGCCATCACTACCACTGGATTCCTAATGTGGAGTCAGCCAGAAATTGCACAGCTTTCCCCAGCTTGCCTTGAGGGCCTCCTTCCCCACTGTGTTCCTATACCCTCTCCACTGTCAGCACCCGTGGCCACGTACCGCCCGGCCTTGGAAAGGGAATTTGGATGCAATACATCCCAGACCATATGCAGTGGCTCCATGTGGGTTTTGCTCCCATTTCCAGCCCACTGGGCTCTCTACTTTCAAACTGCCTTCCTTTTCTTGGTGCACACATCTCAAGTCTGGTGGACCATTTCAAAAGCTCGCAGAATGCCAAATGAGGATGCACACTTAGGTCTGAAGAGTCATGTTCTCCTGAGTAAAGAGGGGTGGCTTTGGCTGGAGAGCGTGTCACATCCTGAGCAGGCACCCCCACCTTATCCCAGCCCTCTGGCTGATGAGCTTCGCTTCAGAAAATTCCCCTTCAAGGAAGTCATTTAGAAGAAAGTGGTTTTATTTTTACAGGAAAGTGAAAAGACTGTTGTCAAACTCTCAGGACGAACACTCAGCTCATTTTTGCTGACCCGCAGCTGCCCTGTCTGGGGCGGTCTTGTCCCTGGTACAGAGTCCACTGCCAAGAGCACTCATGAAAGAACTCCCCCAGCCGGAGGGAGGAAGAGCCTTACCCGATGGTCTTCTCTGCCGGAAACTCAGGGGCCATGACCAGGGCAGTTCTGTGGTAATGGGGTGTGAATGTCTGTGACTATTAACTATTAGAGCCCTTCAATGTTACTCGCTTCCTGTGTCTCTGCCAGTCTCTCTCTCTCTCTGTCTCTCTCTCTCACACACACATAAAATCATAGTGTAATAAAGTGGATTATAACATGTTTTAAAAGTACTGACTGCTTAAGCCAAAATGACAGCTAGAGCCAGGGAATATAGACTATTAAAAGTATTTATCTGAAAAAAATTATTCACCTGAAAAGGCAGAAAATAGCCTTATCTTGTGTCTAAAGAGAACTTCTGTTCTCCAGCATCTTTTACAATGCATTCAGGAAGCAGGGGTGTTGTGGAAAGTGGGAAGGAGGTGTGACAGGGATGGGGTGATGACTGAGCTGTGGAGACAGTGACCTGCCTTTTGTACTGACCCTCAGCCTGGGCTCCAGAGGAAAGTTCCAGTAAATCAGAGTAATATTTGGTCTTTAAAGATCTGTCTCTTATATTCCCGGAAATTAAAAAAAATTTATTTCCATACAGCCACCTCAGGCCCAGAGTTTACAGTGGTAACCATGGCAGCCTTACAGGTGATAAGAAGGCAAGTCACTGGAGTGGTCCTATCTGAGCCACCCGGTCAGAAAGGCCTTCGGGGGCTACCGCTATCTGACCAGGGAGCAAAATGAAGGACCCTTCCTGTGTCTGTCTCTCTGTCTGGATAGTTTTCCAGGCAGGATGTGACAGGGCAACCAGGAGATCTAGTCTTAAACTGCAAATTCAAAAAATGATCAAAGGAACTTTTACTATGTAGTTATAGTTACATAAGCAGGTACAACTCAAGCAGTTCAGTAAAATCTTTCCCTAGTGGTGGCAGATTCGACTTTTATATAATGGAACTAAGCCAGTGGAAGAAATCCTTTCTCGTTTCTTCTTGCTCCTTATTTAAATGTGAAATCTCCTGAAAGGAGTGAGTATACCTGAGGCCATGTTCTATTATTGTTTGTATTCTGTTCTTTTACCTGAAATCTTCCAGTTAATCATGTTGGATGAGACTGAGGGCAGAATCGCCAAACTTTGTTATTCCTGTAACTGTTGTGTCTAAATTGATTTGAGGAGGGGCTGAGAGGACAGCTCTGCCAGAATGTTTGTCTTATATGTGTGCGGCCCTAGGTTAAATTGATCCCCACAATCAAAGCACAAGAAAAAAGAAAAAAAAAGAATGGAAAAAAGAAAAAAAATTTCTTTTGAGTTGGAGGGTTGTGGGAGGATAGAAGAGACTATTTCAGCAACTCTTTAAACAAAAGCGATTCCCTCACTCTTCAAGACAAAGCAGACCAACAGGCACACCCATGGTATTATTCATGGCAAGCAATTATGTGTCCCTGGGTATTGGGGGGAACTGGTTCCAGGACCCCCTGGTGATGCGAAGCTCCTTAGTTGTCCATAGGGTAGCATAGCTTTTGCATGTAATCTATGCATATCCTCCTCTGTAGACATTTGGACATATACATTTCTGTGGGGGGTGTGAGTGTGTGTACTTTGGGAGGAGGGTACTGGGGATTGAACCTAGAGCCTTTGTACATGCTTAGCAGTTCTACCACTGAGTTACTACTGGCTCCTTGCTAGCTAATATTGTGTAAATAGCTGTTACGCTGTATTGTTTAGGGAATATTGCAGGAAAAAGTCTCCATGATCAGTACACATTCAGTTAACATTTTTTTTGCCATCCTCTTTAGGATGAATCCACAGAATCTATGGACAGAGAGGGCCGAATGCTCTGTGACTGAACAAGGAGATTTCCTAGAGAAAGGAAAGGGCCCCAAAAGGGGCAGCATGAAAAAGAAAACCCAACAATCCTGTTGCCACATGCAGCCACCCACAGCCTGGAGTGGGAGAGGCCCGGAGGGACTGGAATTCCGGACAGGGAAGTGGGGCAGTGGACCGTCACACCCCAGCTCGCAGCCCACCCACACAGGGAGAGCCTTGGAAGGTGTTGTGGAGCACCCCCACGCCCACCCCAGTTCCCAGTGTCTCAGGACACAGCCAGGGGAGGACAGGAAGGCCGCGCACTCACCACCACAGGGGGGCGCACAGCGCCCCGGGCAGCGTCAGCGCCAGCAGCAGCATCCGCCAGTCTCTGATGAAGTACGCCAGCAGTGGGAGCAGCATGTACCCCATTGCAAAAAATGTGCACACTCCTAAGGTGGAGAATACTAGACGAGCTGACTTGCCCAGGATTTCTGATCCTGTTCAAAACAAGGGAGGAGGATTAGCACCGGTTTTTTGGTACCGGGGATCAAACTCAGAACCTTGCGCTTGCAAGGCAGTTGGCAGAACCACTGAGCTAAATCCCCGGTCTGTGTTTGTTTGTTTTGAGATGGGGTCTTGATATGTTGCCCAGGTGGGTTTTGCATTTGTAAGATCAAGCGATTCTCCCACTTTAGCACCCCCCACTCCAGTACTGGAGATCGAACCCAGAACCTTGGCCGTCACCTACAATCCCAGCCCTTTGTTTTTCTTGTTTTGAGTTGCAAGGCTGGGCTTGCACTTGTGACCCTCAACCTTCCCTGCCCCAGTGCAGGGATTGTAGGTGCACAGCATCATCTCATGTCACAGGAATGTGACAGTCCCTTCTGAGAACGCCGCGCTTCCGGGATCAGGGCTCCAGCATGAGGAGCAGAGACTTCCTAGCCTGTGGGGAGGTGGCTCTTCTGGGGGCTCTTTGGGGTTAGGATGTGGTTAGCCTGCCCCACATGTCAGTAAACTGTCAGTGAACAGGCACCGGCCCAGCAGGAAACGAGGAAGCTCACAGTTTCCTAGCTGAGTTCTGAGACTGAATAAACAGGAGCCAGCCAGCACTGGAGGTGCACGACAGGCTGCCAGGACCCACCAGGGCTCACTTCCCTGAAGATCAGTGCCGGGCAGAGGCCGTGCTCTCACACAAGGACAGGAGAGTAGGAGCTCTTTGCTCCCCTACAGGTGGCTGCCCTGGAGCTGGCCACATGCCCGGGGAACTCTGCTGAGCTCTCCCAGAACCCCAGCACACAGGCCCAAGGTGCAAGGCGTCTGGGTGCTGGCTGGCAGCTGTGGGACCCTGCCCTGCTCAGCACCACAGTGGACTGACAGACAGCCTAGCCCCGGCTCTTCCACACTGCTCCAGAGCTTCAGAGCTCTCGGCTTGAGACAGGGAGCCCACGGGCAAGCTCCTCCAGTTACAGAGCTCCGGGCCCTCCAGGAGGGAGGACGACAATACAGATAAATTCAAAGGTCAAAGATCTTCTCAATCATGTTTATGGGCACAGACTAAGAGATTAAATCCAAAGAAACAGATTAATTCCATTGCTGCATCAGCCTCCCCATCCCCCTCCCACTCTGTAGAACTGAGCCACCTGCCTCAGCGGTCTCGAGCAGCCACTTAAGAGGCCAGGCTGTGGGAGATGGCCAGCACTGGGTGCCTCTGCTTCCCATAAGGAAGACATAGGCTGAGCCGCCCAGCGCTTTTCTCAGCCTGTATCGCTCATTTCCGAGGATGGAGCCTGTCTCCTCGCTTCCGTTGTTGCTGGGATTCAATACACAACATCCACAAGTTAAGGAGGAAAGCTTTATTCTGGCCCACATTCCAGCCCACAGCAGGTGGCTCCCAGGCAGGAGGGCCTGGCAGAGGGGCATGGCAGGCAGTCAGGGGAGGAGCCAGGAAGGCAGACCCACGGTGACCGCCTCTTCCAACCAGGCCCCTCGGCGGACAGCAAATCAGCTCAAACTTCCTGTAATGCAGTCACCTCCCAAGGTCCTGCTTATGATGCCATGAGGTTTGGGGGACATCTAGATAGAAACCATAACAGGGCTGACTTCTTGGAGGATCACAAGTGTGATCTCTAGGATTTTTCCTTACTTTATGAAAGACTTGCCTAACATGCCCAGGATTCTAAACCCATTAGCTGAGACGACAGTATGAAAATGAACAGGGTGTGCTTTGTTCCTAAACAGAAATTCACAAGTAAAACAGTGGAGGATCTGAGTGAGAATCTTGTAGAATTGCGAGGCCAGAGGCTCCTGATCCTTCATAACCCTGGTATGAGAAGTGAGAGAGAAGGCCACCACTGGGCGCTGGACAAACTCCTCTGCTAAGCTTGGGTCTCAGACCAGAGCAGAGTCATTTCAACTACACAGAGTGCCCAGGGGAGCAGAAGCTCTGTACATTTTCCTCTTTGCCTTGCTGTGTATAACACGAGTACTTCACATCCAGATAATTCTGTTTTAGCCCTACATTCTGCTCTCTGACTTAGTCACATTTCCTAAAACATCACCATCATCATCATCTTCACAGGTGGCATTTTTTTTTGGAGTAATTTGAGCCACCAGGTTCTAGGCTAAATATTCACACCTATTATGTCTTTTGTTTGTTTGTTCGGAACCAGGGATTGAACTCAAGACCTTGCACTTCCCAGGCAGGTGGCACTGCTGAGCTACATCCCTGACCCTCATTACCACTATTTTACCCTGAGTCAGCTCAGACTTAAGCAGTTAATGCCAGTTACCTAAACTAACAATAAGTGGGACAGCCAGGATTTAAATGATATCTGCTTGCCCTATGGATGCTGGTGTAGTCTCCAAGAAAAAAATCCCCTAGGGCAAAGCCTTGGTCCTTTGACCCGTAGTCCTTTTTTTTTTTTTTTGTACTGGGGATTGAACTCAGAACCTTGTGCTTGTCAGGCAGGTGCAGTGCCACTGCGCACAGGTAGTTCTTGGACTGAGAAACTACAGGAGACCAGATGGGAGATAGGCAGGGCTGTCCCCACCTCTCAGAAGGGAGGATTTTCATCTTCCTGTCCTTGGTTTGTCACTGCACTGGCTGGAGCCCTTTTGAGCAGCACTAGGAGGGGAGCCTCAAGGCCTGCAGCTGCCACACACACTCCAAGCTAACCAGCCGAGAGACAGATGACAGTGGTCATTCCTGACTGCTGACTGGGGAGTCCCTGTCCTTCTCCCTCTTCCTCCAAATCTTCATGGCGTAAGTGGAGGTAGAAACACATAAATGTGTTACAGAGATTGCCTTATTTGCACTGCAGTTTCCTAGGGGAGAACCAGGCAGGAGCCGGGAGGAGTGAGGACTTGCTCGCTCCCTGGTGAGCAGTGTTGGACAGGGGCCAAAGTGGAGACTTTTGCTCCAGGGCAAACCCTGGCTGGTCTTGGTCTCACTGGGCCTTTGAGTGATCCTGACAGTGAAACCGATGTCTAAGCCAAAGGGGCCAGTCCTGGCCAGGATGAGAGCCTGAGAAGCTCTAGGAGAGTTTTCCCACCCGCTGTCACCTCCTCCCGAATCAGAGCCCTTTCCAAGAAGGATTGAGCAGGGCTGGGCAGCCCAGGGCCCTTCTGTGGCAGTCAGTCCCAGAGCCACAGGCACACGCCACGTGGAGGACTCCCATGCCCCTCAGTTCCCAAAGGCCACAGTAGACCCGGGCTCAAGAAAGGAAACTGCAGTACTGCTGCCTGGGTCTGGGGACAGAGGAGCGCCCCCTGCTGGTGCGTGGGGCTCACGGCGTCTGCTGCTAAATCCGGGCTCCAGGACTGACTGGAGGTATGAGGCAGTGACAACTAAGGGGGAATGCCTAGCAGCGTGATCAGCTGTCCCTTTATCTCGGTGCCAGAGCTGAAATATGTAGATGGCAGGGGAGAGGCAGAAAGTGCTGCCCCAGTGGAAAGCCCTAGAACCTCTCTGCTCCCCAGAAACTGCTTAGAAATCTCATCAGGTTAGGGAGCGCTCTGCTCAGGGCGCTCTAGGCCAGAGGGACTTCTCCTGTCTGCCTGTGCCTAGCGACGCTGAGTACACTTTCCCCACCACGGACCCTTGCTCCTCCCTGGCTCCACCTGGCTCTTCCTTATGAGAACACAGTGCAAATAAGACAGTCTCTGTACCTCGTTTATGTATTTCTACTTCCTTCATTCACTCCATGAAGATTTTGAGGCAGTTTATAAATTAAATACAATAAAACTATGGCATACACACACAAAAACACTATGGCATTATTAGGAAAAAGGTTTTTAAAAGTAAAAGCTTGTGTCTTAAACGAAAAACACAAATATGAAACATCACTTTGCAAAAACTCTGGCAGCTCCTCAAAAGGTTGAACAGTTACCGTATGACCCAGCCATCCCAACCTAGGCACATACCCAAGGGAACCGAAAACATATGCCCACACAGAACTGCACATTAAAGTGCTCATAGAAGCACTGTTCATAACACTGCCACAGTGGAAATAACCCAGATATCTCCTAACGGATGAACTGATGAACACAATATGTTGTATTTATATAGTGGAATACTGACTCATGTACAATGAAAATATAAAGTGCAAGAAGTTAGTCCCAATGGCCACACACTCACTGTATGATTTCACAGTATGAAATGTTCAGGATAGACAAACCCATAGAGACAAAGTGGATTAATAATTGACAGAGGTTAAATGAGGTCCTAAGAGTAGGGCCTTGATCTGATGAGACCGCTGTTCTTATAAAGAGACACCTGCCAAGCATGGCAGCACACAGCTGTGATCTCAGCACTCTGAGAGGCTGAGGCAGGAGCACTGCAAGTTAAGCCCAGCCTGGGCTGCTTAATGACCTGGTGAGTCTTATCTCAAAACAAGAAGGAAGGAAGGAAGAAAGAAAGGCTGGAAATCAATTCAGAGAGAGAGAGAGAGAGAGAGAGAGAAGCTGTGCTCTTCCTCTGACCCCCTCAGTGCCACAGAGGGATCCCACCCAGGGGCCCCCAGCCTGGAGGCATATTTAGTTCAGCCTTCTCTCTTCCAGAACTATGGAGAACTGCACTCTTCTCCATGAAGCCACCCCCGCTATGATATTTGCTTATGATGTCCTACTTGAGTGACTAAAACAGAACTATAGTCCAATTTAAAAGCATCTGGGGCTGGAGTTAGAGCGCAGCGGTATAGCACTTGCCTAATATCCACAAGGTCTTGGGCTCTTTTTGCAGCACTGCAAGAAAAATAGAAACTTTAACAAAAACCCTCAACTATGTATAAAAGCTGCTGATAAAAGCTGAGCAATGAATGTAGCTCAGTTTACAACTTGCCTGAGCTTCCTGGTAGCCACAGTTATAAAGGAAGATGCCGTCAGCTACGCATTCATCAAAAGGGGAAATACCTACGTATCAGAGGAAGCAGAGCCTTAAACAGTTCAGCATGTACAAAGAAATAAGGCTGAGGTTAGGAGAACTGGAAGACACTGAATTAATGGATCCGCCTTAATGAGACAGGACGCAGTTAACTTTCCAGGCAGAAGACACTAAGCAGTTAGTTATAGAGGATGTAAGGTGCCCTGGGCATTTCACCCAAGGAGCTGTGAACAGGCCTAGGGCATTATTTCTGAGAAACAATGGGAGACTGTGAAGAGTTGGGGTGTGGGTAGGTTAGTGCCCTTGGTCCTCATTTCCTCTTAAATCAGTGACCTGCTAGCAGGACTACCCCTGCAGGTGTATCTCCATTAGATTGTTTTGAACAGCAGCTTTTTTTCCCCCCGTATCTTTTTGAGAATCCTATGACTCACAGGTTTGATGATTTTTTTTTTTTTTAAGCAGCATTAGGACAGGACTCATTTCTACTTTTTGTTTTGTTCTCAGCCCTGGAGAATGAACTCACTCTCTTCCCTTCTAAAATTTATCTTGAGACAGGCTCCTGCTACGTTGCTAAGTTGCCCAGTTGTCCAGGTAGGACTCAGACTTGGCGATCCTCCTGCCTCAGCCTCCCAGAGTGCTAGGATTACGGCCTGCACCACCACACCTATAGCATTTGCATTTCTTTACAATGTAAAACCATGCACCGCTACTTAGGTCAGTTTTCTAGTAATGGGAAGATCCCTAACATGAGTTACTACTTGAGAGTTACGACTGAAGGCAAAAGTGAAGGAGCAAATAGAAATTCTTAGCCAAGACGCTATCCTTTGGTTTACTTTAATCAAATCAGACCTGGATGGTTCACCCAGCCCAAGGAAAAATATAAAAATAATTAGAATTAAATTAAAAGAGGGTCAGAAGTTTAGCCAGTGGTTCTGGTGTCTGCCTCACAAGCATAAATTCGACCCCCAATACAAAAAGAAAAAAAAATTAATATGAAATTAAGTTTGAAACACCAGAGGGCGCTCCTGAAACACCAGAGGCCTCTGAAACACCAGAGGGCGCTCCTGTGCTGTGGGAAGCCAATAGCCCCCAAGTCCTTGCCTGTGTATCCTCTTCGCTCCAGGCCTTGACTGCTGAATCCAGCTGCTCTGGAACAGGCTGGGCTTTCAGTCATGGTCAAACTTTCAGACCCAAGAACTCCACACAGCAGTCTTATACCAAGACCTAAGTCCCTGGTGCAACAGACATGCCTGGAGCTGACAGGTGCCTGGGGCGCCCAGCGTCCCCACCCCAATCACAGAATCAGCACATCTAGGCTCAGACTGACCCTCAGCACTTCTCAGCCCTGCACGTGAGCCCATAGACTGAGGGGCTCCGAGGGCAGTAGATGCAGTGCCAGGCCCAGCAGGGCAGATCTTTCCTGAAGGAGCCGAGGTCTCTTCTTGCCTCTCAGAGGACAGACTCCAGGGCCTCAGAAACATCCTGTGCAGGGCAAAGGCGAGTTTGGCTCGGCAGAACCTGGGGGAACCACTGCCTGGCACATCCCCACCTTGCTCCTGATGGGCTGCTCTGACTTCTGTCCCTTCCAGGTAGTCCCAAGACCTCCTGTGATGTGGGTCACTGATTATGGGCTGAGTCCTGTTGGGGGAGCCTGTTTAGTTTCTGGTATAGGTCTGGCCCAAGCAGAGAACCTGGTTTGGCTTTTGAGCTATGTGGAGGATCACTTCAGGGGGAAGGATCCTGGGGACTTAGAAAACGAGAACAGCCTTTGCTAGGCCTAGGAGTCCTAAATCCTCAGGGTCATCAGCCGTTAGGAGGCTATACTTTCTGTCCCAAGTCTATCTACTCTCACTTTCTAGTGCCACTGGCATGTAGCTCCTTGTGCTCTCTACACAAATAATCTTAAAGTACACATTGTCCCTGCAGAAAGGAGAGCAGCCTCCCCCCGTCCGGCTCCTATCTGAAGTCTACTATCTGCTGGGATCATGTGGCTTCAGCATGCTCCCCCACCTCCTCACCTCTCTCTTCCCTCAGCAGACACCCAGACTGGGCCTGAGGCAAGCAACCCTTCATAAATAATTAAAGGAGTGGAATTTGGAAAATTCCATTGTGGCACTCTGACAGAGGTTGTACATGTCTTCAACGAAGAGAACATCGCATCTCCAAAGCCAAAGAGTTGTCAAAGCCTTGAAAGCAATGAGTCACCCAGCCAGCCACAGACTTTTGAAACAAGGAGAAGCAAGGGCACTGTTTGTAATCACACCATGACAATAGATATAAACGGCGGCAGTGCCAAGCCAACAAGAATGCTCACACCAAAACTACAGGAGGAGGTGGCATCAGTTGTGCTGGGGGTGCCATTCCTCTCCCCTCTTCTCCCATCCATACAGAGAGCATGTTGGGGGCTCACACCTGAGGATGGACCTGGTCAACCCATGTGCAACTCCCTTCACTTCCTCCCCCAGAAAAGCTGGAGAAGGTGCTAGGGCTCTTTATAGCCTTGTCACTGATGACTTACTTTCCTTCTGCAGCTTAGTATTCCTAGCCATAGCCTAGTAGTTGCAGGGCTACTATCGCTACTCTGAGGTGGAACCTTCACAGAGCTGATACAGTCAAGGGTGGCATGGATTCGGGCAAGACCAGATCTGTCTAGATGTACTGTCGCTAATTCCTCCTGCCTGACAAGCGCCTTTCCCACCTGTGTAGCAGTCCCACCACCTGTCCTAAGTACCTAGACTATCAGGCAGAAGTCTTAAGGTTTCAGAGCCCAGATCAAAGATATCACCAGGCTGTTCTCTCAGTGTCCCCTCCTCTGTGTTTCTCTCAAACCCTGTGCTCTTACGAATGGTTCTCAGTGATTGTGTTTTTGTTTTTGTTTTTGTTTTTGTACCAGGGATCGAACTCAGGTCCTTGCACTTTTGAGGCAGGCACCGGATCCACTGAGCTAAATCCCTGGTCTCATGTGGTTGGTTTTGTCTCCTTTCATGGCCAAACACAGAGGTGGCTCCTTGGGAGGACCTTCCCTGTCCGTGACTGGCCCTAAGGAACCTGTGCCTGTGACTCCCACCTCAACACACATGTACTTAAGGTTGATTGAGCTTTGGAAGCATATCCTAGTGTCCCCCTCCTTCCTGGCCTTTCAGTGTCTCAGAAGCCATTCCTACCTAGTATGAAGGCCACCACATAGTTGGAGATCTGGCCCATGCCCACGATGACAAATAACACTGTGAACATCTCCCAGTTGATGGAGAAAATCTGCAGGAAGCTGAAGCCAGTTTGCACAGCCATGGTTGCAAAGAGAATGCTCTTCCTGCCAAACCTGTGAAATACAGTATAACATCAAACATGAGACACGCAGGTTGCAGCAGGGCAATAATTCAGAGTGTGTCACGGTTTACATCGAAAAAGCCCCAGGTGTTTGGAAGGTGTTTAGGTCACAGGGGTACTATACTTACCAGCGGATTCATCTAGTGCGAGTTCAGGAGCTGGATGGGCTCTTAGAAGGTGGGGCCTGGTTGGAGGTGGTCCCTGCAAGGCTGTATTCTCATGCCCAGTGCCCCTCCCTTCCTGCTTACCATGGGGTTGAACAGTTTTCTTCTGCCAGGCCCTGCCCTCATGCCATTCTGCCTTGAGCCAGCTGACAAAGTACTGAAGCCTTGGGCCGAAATAAACCTTTCTTTTATGTTATAGGCATCAGGTACTGGATCCCAGGGATAAGAAAATTACTAAGGAAGATTCTCATGCCATGAGAGGGGTCACTGTTGTGACTATACATAACCATGTGGTTCAGAAGCCTTCGGAACTAGTTCTCAGAAGGACTTTGGAAAGGTTTGGAGATGCCAGATAGGAAAGCCCTCAAACACTGCAAGCAGATTGGTAGGAGACTCTGAGTTGGAGCTCAGAAGACCAGAATACTAATAGGGATGCACAGAACAAAGTCCAGGCTCAGGAGATTTCTGTTGTGAACAACTCCCCTGGCATTTGAACTACAGGCTATGCGCGTTATACTCTGGTAGAAAACATGGCTTCATTTTCTCCATGTCCTGAGACTTTTCAGGAGATTGAGAGTAAGGGCAATGGCCTAATTCATCTGGTTGAGAAAATTTCAAAGCAGCCCTACATTTGGGCTGTGGCATGGGTGCTGCTTTGAGCCAGATCTACAGTGAAAATTAAAAGCCAAATGCAGATGTGAAAAGTTTGTAGTTGCATCAGAAAAGAAGCACCTGCAGAGTTGGGGCCATGAAGAATGTAGTTCATAAAAGGATAAGCATTAAAAAGAGGCTGAGTACTTTGCATGAGGACAACAGCTTGAAGAAATCTCAGGAATCAGCAAGACACTACCTTTCACAGGTTTTAGGATATAAAACTATAAAGCTTTCATTTGAGAAGAAAGTCTTCCTTGAGTGGGGCTGGAATAGTTTTTTGGGATTCCTTTCACAGTGCTTAGCCATCCAGGTACTCAGAGGCCTCTGCAGCCATGATCTAAAGGGCCCTGGGTACTGCTGAGGTGGCAACTGACTTTGGAGTAACCCACCTGATGATGGTTCTGCAGGCATGCAGAATGCAAGAGTTATGAGTCATGAAAGCTTCCACCAAGATGTCAGAAAAAGGCCTGGGAAGCAAGATAGTGTGCCTCCTGAGACAGCAGTGTGTGAAGCTGTGGCAGTAAAACCAAAAGTGCACTGGAGAACCGAGGAAGTTGGAGATGTCAGGAACATGGCATGTCTGCTAAGAAAAGTCACAGGCAATGCGCAGAGCCACCTCGAGTGAGACCAGAAACTTCGGGTCTACTATTGAGATGCTATCTACTCCAATCTGTGAGTTCCAGGAAACCTAGATCCAGCCTGGTTTAGCTCTGTGGTCCCAAAATTCAGACTCAGGGAGAGCACAGTCAGTGCTCACCATCTGATCTGACTGTGGCTGGTGGCTGTTGAGGGATTAATCACATGTCATCCACTACCTGACCCTGACATAACTTTCAAGAGTTGGGATGGGACAATGGTGATGGCAGCCTTGTGTTCTGAAAGCAGGTTTGTGGAATGAGGACTTCATTTTCTGGTGGGACAGGTGGCCTCTCGCCGACCATAGCCAAAGCCCAGGAAGCACAGACTGGGAGAAGAGAACACAAGTGGCACAGCAGGGAGTGCTGGGGATAAGGCTCTTCCAGTCACTGACTTACTGGCCCGACAATCCTCCCCTTCTCTGGGGGAGAAATACCCTGAGTCCTGGCCAACCCCTAGACAGGCAGTTAACTATTCAACTTTTCTCCCTCCAAGGTCCTTACCTGTCTGAAAGCTGTCCGGACACGAAGGAACCAAGAAGCACACCCACGAAGAACAGGGAGGCAGTGAGGGGTGTCTTCCAGTCATCCTCACACACCAGATTCCACTGCAAACAAGACAGCATGAAGGTGAGCCAAGCCCTCCAGCAGGCCCCAAGCCCAGCCCAGCTCCTAGGGCTCTTAGGTGCCTAACAGGGATGCAGAGAACAGTCAGGCACATTCTCCTCTCCTGCACCAAGGCTGACTCCCGACTATTCACAGGGATGGGCAACATCTTCTGAAAGGAGAGGCTGGTGGCTCCTACTCTGCTTGTGTGACACAGGAGAGGCCATGCTGCACCTGGTGACCCCTCATACTGCTTTGCAAAGCAGGCTTTGACCTTTCAGGAGGCAGCCAAGCATGGAAGGAAGGCAAAGTCATGGTCACTTGGTCCATGGATACAAAATGTCTTCCCCCATTTTGCAAAGTGCAAGGAATCCCAGGGGCTGTTTTTCTTTTCTGGGTAGACTCCTGTGGAAAGCTCTGTGTGCCCTGGTCCATTCACCCCAAGGCCTACTCCCTCCCTAGGGCTCCTCTCTCCCCTTCCTACACTGCGTCCCCTCCTTGCCATCCAGCCTTCTTAGCAGCATGGTTCCTCCCATTCCCCAGGGACAAGAGCCTGCTGGTTGGACCATAAAATGAATTTCAGTTCCAGCTGTTGACTGAAGTCAACTCAGCAAAATCTTAAAGGAGTGTGTATAATTATTACCTCTCATTTGAAAAAAAAAAAAAAAAAAAGGTACCCATGAGTCTTTTGGGCCTGGGGATCTGGAACAGGGGTGTTGCTGCAATGATCCAGCTTCCAGGAAAGACCCTCAGCCTCCCTCAGCCGCCCACCCAGCCCTGGGAAGCAATCTTGCTTCCATGCCATTTGCACAGCAATGCAGCTCTTACTCCTCAGAGCTGCCATGAAATTGGCATTGATGGATACATGCATTTCTGTATCTATACCACACCTCGTTTCTGCAATGAGAGGTGTTTCTAAAGACATACAAAAGAAAAGTGTAAAATAAAAGGCTAAGGGGAATAAGAGAAAGCAGACAGTAGACAGGAGGGAAGTTGCAAAAGCCAAGGCGGGGGTGAGGCCGACCCTGAATGGTCCTCCCACCGATCCGCCTGCCGGCCACTCTGGCCCCCAGTCCGGCCCTGGCTGCCTAGCAGCTCAGCTCCCAGATGGTCTCCTGACCCACAGTGATCAACTTGTTCTGCAGAGATGCAGTTTTCCTTTTCTGTTCTCATGTTATTTGCTCATTAGTACATGTTTGCAATAGGTAATGATTACATTTATCATGGGGTCTTGGTACACAATGTATCTTAGCTCTTTTTTCTCTTTTTATTCCCTACCCCTCACCTTCCTTCCTTCTCCTTCCAACCCTTGGTCTCCTTCCCATTTGAAAAAACTCCATTTTCACTATTTTCTTCTTTTTTTCCATCCCGTTTCTCTCCCCTCCCTCCCCTTTCACTTTGTCTCTTGTTCCCCCATCCATTTGAGAAAGATCTACTTCCTATTTATCTATCCTCTATTTTACTTTTTAGTTATATATATATTTAGTCTCTCATCTTACAGAAACCATGCAATATTTAAACTTATGTGTCTGACTTATATAACTTAATATTATGGTTGCAAGGTGCATCCATTTACCGATGAATGACTCAAGTTTCTCCGTTATGGGAGAGTAGTACCCCACTGTGTATAAATACATTTTCTTTATCTATTCATCTGCTGGTGGGCATCAGAGCCATTTCCAAGATTGAGATATTATAAATTATAACCATGGGTATGTATGTATCCCTGTAATATGATGACGTCAACTCTTGGGAAAGTATCTAGAAAGGAAATAGCTGGACCAAATGGAATTTCTAGTTTTAGTGTTTTGAGGAATCTCCATGCTGCTTTCCACAGTGATTGTACTAGTTTACCTTCCTACCAACAATGCAGAAAGATTCATTTTCCCCCAAATCCTTGCATTTGTTGTTAGATTTCTTGATGACAGTGATTATTTCTATGACAGTGATTATTTCTAGAGTACAATGGCAACTCAGTGTTTAATTTGCAATTCTCTATGGGCCGGTGATATTGAACATTTTTTCATGTATTTATTGTCCATTTGTACTTTTTCATTGAGAAGTGCCTATTCATTTCAGTTGCTCCTTTTTTAATTGAGTCTTTTATTTTGGGGGATCTAATGCTTTTCGAGTTCTTTATATATTCTAGATACTAGTCCTCTAAGGAAAAGCTGGCAAAAACTTCCCATGCAGTAGATTGACTCTTCACTATGTTGGTTGTTTCATTTGCTGTCCAGAAGCTTCTTAATTTGATACCATTTGTTAATTCTCAGCATTATTTCTTACTGGCACAGTTTTTCTGAGTACTGAGACATGACAGTCTCTCCTTTAAACCTTTTTCTACTTAAAAGTCACCGGAATGTAGAAATGATGTCCTGAAGGACACCTTTGTCCTGAAGACAATAGGGAGGGGGTCAGCAGGCTTTCTCTCCTGGTGCTCACAGTGCTGGCTCCAGCAGGGTGCTCGAGCATAGCTCTGCAGAGGAAAAACAGTACAGGCCAGGAACACAGACCTCCAACTCTCAGGCACAATCCAAGGGTACATCTGAGACCATTCTCAGAGCCAGGTTGGCTCACCTGGCACTACGGTTAGAATGTCCCCATAAAACTCATGTTGAAATTTAATCCCATTGTGAAGTATTAAGAAGGCAAAAACTTAATCTGACTATGGCATCCTTTGCGAGGTAATTAAGGGCCGTAAGAGTGGGGCTTTAATTTACTGAAACTATAACTTCATAAGAGGGAGAGACCTAAACTGGCAAGCTTGTTCTGCCTTGGGACTCTGCAGAATCCCTACCAGCAAGAAGAGCCTCACCAGATGCAGCCACCGAATCTTGAATTTCCCAGCCTTTAAAACCTTGAGCTGAACAAAAATTTATTCTTTGTAAACAAACCTTTATTCTTTTCTTTTCTATTCTTTTGCTTCCTTCCTTCTTTCCTTCCTTCCTTCCTTCCTTCTTTCCTTTCTTTCTCTCTTCCTTTCCTTTTTTTCTATACCAGGGAGTGAACTCAGGACCTTGCACTTGTGAGGTAGGCGTGGTGCCACTGAGCTAAATCCCTGGCCAAGCCTTTATTCTTTAACAACTGCTCTGGAACTAAGACACCCGAGGTCCCTGAAAGGGCTGAAGGGGTGAGGGCACTGGGCCCTCTAATGTTGTATAGCCATGTTTACATGCTCTGCCAGCCCACAGATCAGAAGTAGCAGAGAAGATATGTGCTTGAATTAATGGTTCCCTCTTCTTTCTCAGGAACTTTCTCTCAATAAAACTTTTCTACTCTTAACCTCTTTTTGTCCTTGGAATCTATTCTTCAGTATCAGAAAACACAAACTTGGCACAGCTGACCATCTAAAAAGTTGGGAGTTATTTTCTCCACAGCAAACTGGAGGTTCCACCAAGATGTTTGGAAAGAGGTAAGAATTTGCTTTTGTTTCATAAAACCCCCTTAGAGTGTTTCAACTGGATCATGATTCCTTTAGGAAACTGAGAACTGTCATCCTTGTTTCTCAGTTGCATACTCCCTGTATTTTATGTGAACAGATTTAAGCTGAGATAATGGAAAGATTGTGACATCTTTTATATTTATGTTTCTTTGATGGGACATCTTTTGTTTTGCAAACAAGCCTTTGTGTTCCTGCTTTGACTTGTTTGGTGGTTTTGAGATGACCTGGTTTCTTGTTACATACAGCTCTTTGGGATGGTTTTTGAACTTCTAATTGGCTTACAGCTCAGTGCTCTTGGGTGTGTCTGAGGATTCATATGGAACAGGTTTTGGAAGTACACCTTTTTTTGTAGGGTGGCTGTTGCTATTATTAGGAAAACGGTAAATGCAGTCCTGAGAACGTTTTTCCCTTTCCAATTGAAGGCTCTTATACTCTTGGAAAATGAGTGCATGCAGATAAGCAAAGATAAGAGGCACTTACTCTCTTCCCCCAAATGGGAAGAGATGTCAGGGTGCACTCTCCAGGATGTGAGGTGGCCTTGATAGGTATTCTTTTAAAATAGACAACATCCCTGGGTTAGACAGGACAGGACGGTCACGGTCATCTCAGAAGACACACTACAAGGATGTAGCCCATCCACGTCTTGAGCAAAGGTCTAGTGGGATCAGCTGGGCCAGCAGGGAACACTCATCCAGAGACACTGTGGGGAAAATGAATCTCTGGGTGACACCAGAGGAAGCTGTCTCCAGGACCTGCACATCTGTAATCCTAAACACTATAGCCTAAAGGACTCTCTCCAATCTGCCTTTCCGATCCTCTCCCTCTCTCCCTTTCTTTCTCTCTCTTACGTAGTCATTCAGGTTCTTGATCATTGGTTTAATTTTCTGTTTGGCCAGGCTTCCCTTCTTAAACAGCACTGTTACAGAGGGAGTCAATTGAGGCTTTTGCTTTTAGAAACATGCTTTGGAGTTGCGAATGTGAGCTTAAGACAGAAACGACAATTCAGAGGAAGGAGGTGCAGGTCAGCAAGGGTGGATAATCTAATCCGACCAAACTTCTGAAAGATCTCTCTAGCTAGCAGCCACCTGTTCTGGAGCAGGGAACCTCAGGAAACACCCCGAGGGCAAAAAAAAGTGGGAGGGATTAGAAGAGATTCATTTTCTCCCCTTGCTGTTTTCCAAAGGGAAAACTCAATGTCAAATTCTCTTGCTCTTTTGGTGTGCACTCTAAAACACTGAGATTTGTTTACTCTCTTTCTGCACCTGGGTATCCTGAGAGAAAGTAAAATTCCAAGGAAAATATTGACTATAATAGTCTTTTACAACTAGAATTGTTCTATAAGAGAGAAGATCAGTGGTCCCAGGTACCCTATGTTTAGACCTTTTTTGCTTTAAGAGAGAATCCTGACTTATGTTCAAAGTGTAGATGTAAGCCACCGACAAACAGATGCCCCTAGTCCTTAAGCCTCAGCCTCATGCATCTACCATGACCGAGCCTAAAGTTTCTTTCCCTTGCCCTCCTTTTTTTTGAGACAGGGTCTTGCTATGTATTTCAGGCTGGCTTTGAACCCACAGTGATCCTCGTGCCTCAGCCTTCCCACTAATGGGATTCTAGGCCTGTGCACCATACCTGGCAAGGCTGAGACTTCAAAGCCACTATCAATTAAAGCCTCTACGGGGCTGTCTCCACTGTATCTGATTTCACTGAAGCTCCTCAGGGATAAGATCCTTTATGGGTGGTGGGTGGAGAATTTGGCCCTACCCATGCATATGTGTCCTTTGCTCTCAGTGACTTCAAACAGATCAAACAAGATCTGGGAAAGCTTTCAGATAATCCTGGTAAGTACACTGAGGTCTTAGGAGATTTACTCAGAACTGTTAACTAGACTGGAAAGATGTAATGTTGCTTTTAAATCATACAATGACCCCTAGTTAAAATCAAACAAAAAAAAACAAGCAGCATTACAGGCTGCTATTACATTTGGAGATGAAAATAATATTATTCATTTTAAAAGATCAGAAAAGAGATAGCAAGGGGAACCTCAGTTTCCTACTGGGGCCCAGGTACCCCCTGTACAAGACTCCTACTGACCTACCAGCTGGATGGGAGGTTGAAACAGAAGATATTTCCAAACTTAAATCCTTGAAAGCCTGAAGAAGGACAAAAACTAAACCTTTCAATTATTCTAAATTGTCAACTGTTAATCAGGAAAATGAGGAGAACCCCTCTGTCCTCCTAGGGTATTTACAAGAAGCTTTGGTAAGGTATATGTCTCTGTCCCCTGATTCAGTAGAAGAACAGATTATTCTTAAAGATGACTGTATCACCCAGCCAGCTTCCTGTAAGGCCTACAGGAGAGGGCGACACCATGACCTGCCCTGTGCACTTCTGCAAACTGGAGCCTGCTGGCAGGAAAGACCACCCCAAACAACACATCCCAGCCCTTGGTTCCAGAAAACAGCTACATGGCAGCCTGGGAGCACAGGCCACTTGTCTCTGCCTCCTCACCTCCCCAAGACAGCGGCTCTCGCACCAACACCTGGCAACTGCCTAGCAACCGCTTCCCTACTTAATTCTATGCCCTCTCAATGCCCTACACTGATTCCCCGCTTGGAGTCAGCCTGCCTGTTTGTGCTTGAGTGAATAAACAACTTTGTTTGCTCTCACAAGGCTGGCCTGGGTAATTTCTCTGTTCTCTGCATCGCAGTTACACTTCAAACATCAAGCAAAAGCTGCAAAAGATGGCTTTCTGGATAGTTCACTCAGGACTCCAGGGAGAGCTGCTACGTTGTTCTTTTATAATGAGGACTGAAAAGTGGCTAAAGGGAGAAAACACAGATCAAGAGAAAGTAGCTTCCTTGGTTGTGTCCTTAAAAAGAGTAAACTCTGAGTCTGATTGCTGGGACTGCAAGAATAGTTTGAGGACTAAAGCCACCTGCTATGACTATGGGAAGCCAGGACATTTTAAGAAGAATTGTAATAAAAACCACACCAAGAGGCCCCCTAAGCCATGCCTTGCATGCAATGGTGACCACTGGAAGTTGGACAGCTCCCAGGAACAAAGGTCCCAGGAGTCAGGTCCATCTCCCCAGCTGGTCCAGCAAGACCACAGGGCCTTGAGCGCCCTCTTCACCCTCTCCCTCTGGCCAGACTGTCATCTCCACAGAGAGCCCTGGGTGGTCAGTGGGAGAAGAGACCAGCCCATTGCTGGACATGGGAGCCAGCCTTTCAGTCCTTCTTTTCATCTTAGCCTTCCTTCCAGCTGTCACATCACAGTGAAAGGAGTCACCAAGGGATGGTTCGCTATTTCTCACAACCTTTAGGCTGTAACTGGGATGGCTTTCTCTTCTCCCGTTCCTTTTTTATCATACCTGAAAGTCTAGCTCTCCATGTGGGAAGAGATATCTTGTTTAAATGCTATAACAGGGCTGGGGATTTAGCTCAGTGGCACTGTGCCTGCCTTGCAAGTGTAAGGTCCTGAGTTCAATCCTCCGTAGGAAAAAAAAGAAATCATCAAAAAAAACAATTAAATGCTATAATATACATGCACTCAGGTCACATTGCCTTATTTTCATGAAGACTAAAATAAGCCCAAAGTAGAGGCAAATAAAGGTAAAATTAAGAGAGCAATAAGAGCTGCCACAGTACAAATGCATCTTAAAGACCCCACTATTTTTCCTCACCAGAGGAAAAGGACTGTTTCCTATAATTGACAATTTGAGGGCACAAAGTTTACTTACACCTGTAACTAACAGGCCCTGCAATACTCCAATCTTGGGAGCCCAAAGCCCAATAGAGAGTAAAGGTTGGTATAGAATCTTAGATTGGTAAATGAGGCAGCAGTGCCAATCCACCCAGGGGTGCCTAACCCGTACTCTCTTCCTTCCCAGATCTCTAAATAGGCTGGTTGGATGAACTAAGATTAATAATATCAACAAGGATGAAACGGGGGAAAAGGGAATTAGAGGAGGAAGAGGATGGGGGAGGGAAGGGGATTAAAAAAGAAAAGCTGTAGTATGCACATGTACCAACTCCCCAAGATGAATGTAAAATACATGTACTGCAAACATGTACTAATAGAATAAAAATTTTAAAAGAGAGAGAAAAAACCATGCTGGTTGGTTGTTGGTGTTAAATGCAAAAGATGCCTTCTTTTGGATTCCTTTCTATACGGATTCCCAGTTGCTTTTTGCCTTTGAAAATCTTTATGATCAGGCCTTGCAACTGACTTGGACTGTGCTGTCTCAAGGGTCCAGAGACATTCTCATCTCTTCAGACAAGTGTTTTCCACGCCTTGGCCTTTTCAGTCTTCCCAAGTCACAGACTTGCAATATGCAGATGACCTAGTGTCACGCACCTCCTCAGAAGTGCTCTCCAGCCAGGCACTCATGCTGTGCTGGACTTTCTTGCAGACAGAAGTTACAGGGTCTCTAGGTCTAAGGCACAACTTTGCATCCTAAAGGTAAAATATTTAGGCCTTATTATATCCAAGGGAAACCTGAATACTGAGGGAAAAAGGAATTGAGCCTATTTTTTCCTTGTCTCAGACCAAGACCCTAAAACTGCTAAGAAGATTCCTGAAAATTACAGACTTTCATCACCTTTAGATAGCAGAATATGGTGAGATTGTGTGACCTTTTTACCAGCTTGTAAAGAAAACCCAAAAGGCAGATACCCATATTTTAACCTGGGAATGTGATTCCCAAACTGCATATATGTCAGTAAAAAGCAGGAGATGGCCTTGGGAATGACTGCACAAGACTGGCGTGAGAGTGCACAGCAGCCCCTAAGTTATCTGAGTTGCAAATTAATCACAGCAGCAAAGGATGACCTGCTTGCCTTTAGGCTGTTGCCGCCGTGGCTCCTCTGGTGCTAAAAACATCCAAACTGACCTTAAGCAAAGATTTCCCTGTAAACACCCCTGACAATGTGGCAGAACTTCTTTCCTCCAAAGGAAGCCTAGGGCCATCAGACAGCCAGCTTCTCAGATATTAGGCTGTACTCTTAGAAGGACCAGCCAACCAAATAAAGATACACTTCTCAAATCCTGCCGCCTTTCTACCTGGAAAGGACAAAACTGACATTAACGGACACAACTCTTAAGCAGGTAGTTCTCCACATTTAGGCAGCCAGGAAAGATTTGCTAGACACACCCTTTGCTCACCCTAATTTGATCCTCTTTTGATGGCAGTTCCTTAATGGAATGGGAACAGAACGGCCAGATGTGCGGCAGTGACTCTGTATGAGACACTCTCAAGCTTCGCACTTGCTCCTGGGATTTCTCGCTTGTTCCAGCTGGCAAAACTCACATCTCTGACAAAAGCTTTACAACTCAGTAAAGGACAAAAAGTTAATATCTGTACTTATTCAAAATAGGCTTTTCTAGTGCTACATGTTCATGAAGCCATGTGGAAAGAGAGAAAGTATCCAATAGCCAATGCATCTCCCATAAAATATCACAAAGAGAAAACTTTTACCATCTGTCTATCTGCCCTCTAAGGTGGTAGTATATTACTGCAGAGGGCATAAAAAAGGAGTTGATAAAGTATGCCAAGGTAACCAATTGATTGATGCAGGTGCAAAAGAAGCTGCTTGAGGCTCCTGATTTGGGAGGGGTCCCTCAATCAGACTTGACTCAAATATTTTCAGTGAAAATTGAATGGACTCTCATATGGATGCCAATTTCTTCCATTGGGATGGTTATGATCAGATGATGGTAAATTGTTCATTTCTGGTTCTAATCAATGTAAAATTATTAAGACTTTACATCAAACCCTTTTCTTGGGGAGAGACAAGATACTCTAGACTTCCAGGCATGGTGGCACATGCCTGTAATTGCAGCACTCAAGAGGCTGAGGCAGGAGGATTGCTGTGAGTTTGAGGCCAGCTTGGGCTACATAGTCCAAGGCCAGTGTGAACTGCACAGTGAGACCCTGTCTCAAAAACAAACAAACAAAACCCACCCGATAGCTTCAGAATTACTCATAGGAAAAGGACTCTCTCTGACAATATAACAGATAGTTAAGACATGTGATCTCTGCCAAAATAAACAGTTCTCTTAACTAGACTGCAATTCCTCCAGGCATGCAGAGTCATGGGAATATCCTGGAAAGATTAGCAGCTTATTTTACCTGTATACCAAGACGTAAAGGACTCCCGTACATATTGGCCTGGGTAGATACGTCTATTAATTGGGTTGAGGACTTTTCTTATAAAACGAAGCACAGGAAGTGTTAAAGGTTTTGGTCTCAAAAAGCATCTTCAACTTTGGACTCCCTAGAAGTTTACAGTAACAGTGAGCCTTGTTTTAAAACAACTGTCACAGAAGATGTCTCTCAGATACCGGGCATTCTCTGTCATCTTCATTGGGCCTAACAACTGTAGTCATTAAAAAAGGTAAAAATTTAAAAAAAAATTTTTTTAAAAGAGCCCCTAAAGAAACACCTTAACAAAATGGCCCAGGAAGCCTACCTACAGTGGCCCAATTTACTACCTTCAGCTCTTATAAAGGTGAAAAATGCGTCTCAAACTCCAGGCCTCAGTCCTTTTAAAATGACTTATGGATGTCCTTTTCTCAACAATAAGTTTCTTTTTGACAGAAAAATAGATGCCTTGGTAAAAGATTCACCTCATTGGTTAAATTCCAACAGACCCTTCAACAACTAAGAAAAGATTGGCCTAAAAAAGAGGAAATCTCATGTCTTGCCCTGGAGACCCGGTATTGGTAAACTCATCATTTCCCTCCCTCAGAACAAACTGGGAAGGATCACACACCATGATCCCGTCAATCCCCTGGGCTGTCAAGGTAGCCGGCCTCAACTCCTGAATACACAGTAATGGACCCAAGTCCTGGGAGCCAGAGACCAATGCTAAGGGTGAACGACCATCTCAATACTCCCATAAAACCACAGATTTAAAGTTCTCATTAAAACAAAAAGCACACCATCTTCAGGTAAGTGGACTAAGACCTTACTGTTAGCCTTTTTACTAACTGCTTTCTTATCACTTGGGGGAGGAGAGTGCAATTCCTTTGTGGGTACAGGAATATGCAGAGTTGGTACAATAAATATCTTGCTGAATCTGTGACCTGCTCCCCTTGTCATAAAGACTCCCTTGGTGGGTATCATCTCAAGGAGATGATTAAAAAGCTATCACACTACACAGATGAAACAAAAAGGCTCAATAGTTCATAGTTTAACCCACTGTTAAAGGTAACTGAGTGGCCCATAAAATCCACCCTTCATGACCTCTGACATAATCAAAAATTTTCTAAAATGCCACTAAAGCCTCTCTATGGGCTCCAGTAAAACCCCTATTAACTGAGAATATCGGGCCTATCTTAAGAGCCAATAATCAGAGATATCAAGAGGACTACTTTCAGACATGAGATGATAACACGTGGCCTTAGAAAAAAGGTGCTGTTATGTTGGGTACGAAAAAAATCACTTCTACTCTCATTTATCTAACTACTAAATAGTTGGGATGGACACTCCCTAATCGAGGTGTATATATTCTAACTCTACAGGTCAAGAAC